GTCCTCCTCTCGTCTAGCTGGAGTACCGCAGTCGACGGCAAGCACTTCCTGGTTCGACTTATCGCGTCCAGACAAGATAAGTCGAACCCAGAACTTCGATTGCCAGCTGCCGAATTAGCGGCTGGGTGTAGACATACCCTAAGTAATTTTTTCAAAAAATACATCAAAGCAGGAAGCCTGACAAATGGTCCATGGAGCCACTGGATGATCGAGGTGCTAAAGGAGCACTCAAGGAAGACAAGGCTGTTGCGAGAAGGTAAATGAATTTGTTGCATCTGTCTTCACTGCAGGGGATGAGAAGGAGATTCCCACACCTAAGCCATTCTTTTTAGGAGACACATCTGAGGAACTGTCTCAGATTGAGGTGTCAATAGAAGAGGTTTTGGAACAAATTTATAAATTAAACAGTAATAAGTCACCAAGACCAGATGTTCTGAAGGAACTCAAATATGAAATTACAGACCTACTAACTTTGCCATGTAATCTATCACTTAAATCAGCCTCTGTACCAGCTGACTGGAGGATAGCTAATGCGATGATCATTTTAAAAAAAGGCTCCAGAGGTGAGCCTGTCAATTACAGGCTGATAAGTCTAACTTCAGTATCAGGGAAATTGGTTGAAACTATAATAACGAACAGAATTATCAGATACCTAGATGAATACAAGATGTTGGGGAAGAGTCAACATGGCGTTTGTAAAGGGAAATCATACCTCACCAAATCTATTAGAATTCTTTGAGAGGGTCAACAAGCATGTGGACCAAGGTGATATGGAGTACTTGGACTTTCAGAAAACCTTTGACACAATCCCTCACCAAAGGCTCTTATAAGCAAAGTAAGTAGTCATGGGATAAAGAGGTTATATAATTAGAGGGAAGGTCCTCTCATGGGTCAGTAACTGGTTAAAAGATAGGAAACAAAAGGTAGAAATAAAGGGTCAGTTTCACATTGGAGAGAACTGAGGTAAATAGTGTCATCCCCCAAGGATCTGTACTGGAACTAGTGCTGTTCAACATAGTCATAAATGATTTGGAAAAGGGGGTGGCAAAGTTTGCAGATGATACAAAATTATTCAAGACAGTTAAGCCCAAAGCTGACTGAGAAGAATTACAAAGGGATCTCACAAAAAATGGGCCACAAAATGGCAGATGAAATTCAATGATATGATAAATGAAAAATAACGCACAATGGAAAACATCATCCCAACCATACATACAAAATGACGGGGTCTAAATTAGCTGTCACCACTCAAGAATGAGCTCTTGGAATCATCGTGGACAGTTCTCTGAAGATATCTGCTCAATGTGCAGCAGAAGTAAAAAAAGCTTACAATGTTAGTAACCATTAGGAAAGTGACAGATGCTAAGACAGAAAATATCATAATGCCACATACAAGTCCGTGGTATGCCCACATCTTGAATATTGCATGCAATTCTGGTCACCTCATCTCAAAAGCAGAGAGATTAGAATTGAAAAAGTACAGAG